CAGTCATCGAGCATCATGATTATTTCTCTGTATGTAATGTGTTATATATATTGAAGAAGTCGATGGATCGATCACCGATCATTTTGACCGTGGGAGAGCCACGCTTCGGTATGAATGGGCCGGCACGACCGGAGTGATACCACGGCCTCACAGAAAACCGACGTGAAGCAACGCTTGCGTTGTGTTTCGTCGTGTGAGTGAGGGTACCGGAGGTCCAAACCCTCCCTTTTCCCTTCCCTCTACCTCTCAACCCTTCCCTCCAAGGCCGGCAGCGCGCTTGTAGCCCCTCTGGTGTTACAGGTGTCCATGGGCGACGGTAAACACTTACCATCAGGTGATCCGTCTGCTCGTCTGCCCCCTATCCCATAAAAAAAAAAAAGACCACCCCCGGAAATTGACAGACCAGTGAACGGGTTAAGGGAACAATTCACAAAAATTATTGTACGCATAATGAAAGAAGGAAAGTATCTAAATAAAATAATAAAAGAAAAAGAGGACATCATAAAAACGTAATGAAATGAAAATGTTTTTATTCAAGTAAGTTTGTTACAAGCACTTTTGAATCGTCCAAAAATATTTTTTCCCCTACCACTTGTTCAGGACGTCTTTTAGCTGACAAGAAGAACAAGCGAAAGAAACTTACCAGCTCTTTATCATAAGTAATGACATTTACATAAATCATAAATATATTGAACAATAATAAATACAAGTTTCAAAGCCTGTAGGACATAGGTTGGTACATACCTATAATTAATCGTTATAGAACAGAGCGAAGGCTATTTATTCCATGCATTGCGATCCTTAAAATAATCATCAAGTTTATAATAGCCTTTACTCATAAATATATTCTTTACATGAATTTGAAATTTATTTATGGGTAGGAATATTACATTTTGTGGAACTTTATTGAACATAGCAATACATTTACCCAGAAATGATCCTCTGGTTTTTTGAAGTTGAAGCTTGGAACGGCAAGTTTATTTTTATTTCTTGTGTTAAGATTATGAACACTACTTTTTTTTTGTGAAGGAATCGTAATGTTTTCTTGTGTACATAATATTCTCATAGATGTAATGAGAGGCAAAAAAAAGTTAAAAACTGAACTTGAGAAGCTATCCCGTGATGTGAGTGGTGAGTTACGGGGACTCCCGGAACGAGAACGAGAACAGAAGCAGCGAGAACGTTATATCTCCGTTCAGGACAGTGCAACAGTATTAAATGCCCTATAGCGGACTGGGATGTACAGGCATGTCGCAGTAGCGGAGCAATATTGTGTATACGTGGAGCCCCCCGCGGCTGAGTGATGACATTTTTTCGGTGACACATCATCAATAAGTCAATAGTCAGCACTAAGGTAGGTATATCGGGTGAAAGTAATCAAATTGCGTCTGCGAACACTTAACGCCGGACACTATGTACCGTTTGCAGCAGTCAGGCATTTTGCTAAAAGATATGCTTAAACAGTTACGCTTACTGCTGGGTTAAATTCGGTCAGATTTACTTACGTAAAAATAATAAAAAACGAATGCAATTTTGGTGAAAAACGAAAAGTGTTAAAGACCTTGAAATGTCTACTCATTTATTGTTTTATCTTACGCTTATTTAGCCATGAAAACTTTTTAATTAATACTCGTACTTACCTATACTCGATTCATTATAGCATTAGACAGAATGAAAATAAGGTTCTTTTTATGGTATACTTTGTGACAAAATGTCAACAATCATGTCACTCTTAAGACTCACGGCTAATTTGCTACATATCCACTTAAATATCAGCTGCTATACTAAACCGTTGTCTTTTAAGCTAAATATTAAACAAGTTTATGAGTATTTGACTGACTTAAAACATTTAATAATTATTACAATAAAAAGTGTTCATCTTAAAGAACCTAAAGAAGCAGGGTTAGATAGTTTCGGCATGATTCTCATGTCACTATAACTCTACCAAATTTAAAACGTTGTCTAATCCCTTCAAACGTTTCGGCAGTACAGCTTTTTAATTTTGTCAGATTATGATTTATTCATAATATTCAAAATACGTAATCTAGGATTATCATTCATTGTGACTGCTACTGCCTTTCTTGTTGTTTTGCCATTTTCGGTGATTGAGAAATTACTGTTTTATTGTTGTTTTCTTATAGATTTGTTTTAGTTGTTATCTTTTTGTTGTTAAGTTTTGCTAAATTGCGATTCCGGTGCAGGCCCGAGTGGCCTACAACAATTACCTATGACATTTCAGCAAGTTTTTCCAGTATTAATCAATAGTCTAATAATATCTGAATAAATGTTCTATCAGTAATAATAAAAATTTCATTTTGTTTACCTTTATTTTCTGGGCATAGATATAACTAAATTATATTCTAATTATATACACTTACAATTAGAATCAATCAAAACAACAGATAGATAGTTTTATTTCCATGTTGGCGCTCAGTAAAAGATGAATTTAGAAAATGCTAGTCTCATCTCAACCCCGAGAAAATGTAAAATTGCCCAACTCTTTCAGACTACGTAAAGTTTAAAATTTCAACAAAACTATTATAAATATTTTTTAAATTTATCTTGAAAATAAAATGTTCTGCACTACTGCTTCTGAGATCCAATTTTTTCTAATGTTATAATGAATGGAGTTATAGTGTTTGTTATACCTAATTTGCCTTTCAATTTTATTATTGTATAGCTTTAATGATTGCGTATATTTATCATTAAAATGAATTAAACATAAAATATCTCTGGAACCTTTTACATAAATGTCATTACAATATATTATTATGTAACGCTCAGTACATAATATTCCTTTAAGTATAATTTGTCATTATTGCATTTTACATTTAACTAGCTGATAGCTCGATAGACGTTGTCATGTTTTAATTGTGATTATTGATTTTTAACATTTTTTTTCGTCCTATTTGACGATATGTGCAGCACGCATTCACGTGTGATGGCGTAACCGAGGGAAATAGGGATTTATTTTTATATATATATAGATACAAATGTCATTAATTTTACACGACTATTCTAGCTTAAACAAGTGATAGATAATACACCTTCCATAATATTACATATTCTGCCCTTTTATACAGCATATAATATATCTTGGGCCTTTGTTTTACAATGCGTATATCAATGACATCTATACCTTCTTTAATAGTGCTAAATATCTTTTATACGCTGATTATAAGAAAATTATTGTTACGAGAGTAACACGGTCTGTGTCGAGTCGAATGGAGATATGTTATTGACTCTGTGGCCGGCATATCGAGACGCTGGACTGATAAAGTGAAGGTGAAGTGTAGGTAATGTGGCAACTGAGTGCTGAACGAGTGATTTGAACGCTGTCTCTAGGTATGTACCGTACCTGTTTAATGTTAAATTGTTTTAGTTGGAATATAATAAATTATGGAACTATTTGTTATAAAATATCTGAAAAGTGTGTTAGTAACTATCGAATATGTATTATTTTGTTGTAAATAAACGTAATTAAAAATTTTATCAAATAATAAAAATAAAAATATTTAAAGGAAACATGTCTTCGCTTTGGGTGAATAAAATACGGGGTGTTCACGAGGTATTCTTATAAGGTAAGTACCTATGCTGTTAAATAAATTGATTTATATCCATCTTTTATTCCTTTGGAAGCTCCGTTGATTCGTATAACTTAAGTCGTAGAAACAGATACTTACACCTGCTCAGTTGATTTTTCAGACTAACAGTAAGTTTTTTCAGAGAACTTAAAGAAATTTTGTTGTAATGATATTTTAGTTGATATGAAATTAGATTACTAGTTATTCGTGTACTGTTGCTACTTGCTGGCGAAACTGCAGATTACGAATGTCAAGAATGTCTGGATATATACAATACTTGACGTCATCGACTAGCACTGGGAACAGTGTGAATGTTTCGTGTGATCATACTGAGATCGCATGTTTGTACTGTACATATTTGTCATTGCAAGACTGTCTGTCTCAGTGTACACTGGCTATGTTGGTATTTTTAAGAAGACGTAAGTAAGTTCAAATTGAGCTGCTATAAGATGTAGTATTTTTCGAAGAGATAAATATCCCTTTGTCATATGGGTAACAGTTCAATATCGGGAGTGATACAATGAAACACAGATCCGGAGCTCCATATATATATTTATTGATCACGAATTCGCATCTGCCAAGTCGCGGACAGTGTACGCGCGTACACACAACATCAACAAGCGCGGGCGCATCATAGACTATATGTCATGACAGACAAACTACCGTATAATAAGAATATAGTCAACACGAAGTACACGCCTAGAGGGCGAGGCCTATCCTATCACGCCGATAAACTTTGGTAAATAGAAAAATAAACTTAACGAGCACGAGTCGACACCCTGTCAGCCGCGGGGCCGCCACCGCCTACGCCCACGGCCACCGCCTACCGCCTACCGCCTACATCACAGTCTTGTAAAACGACCTGACTATCGGAATCATAATACCTACATTATCATCCGTATATCGCGTCGCGTCGAGAGGTAACGAAGTTTGTAAATATATTCGTATATAATCTTCTTAAATAACGTCAATAAATCGCAAGCGAGGATCGCCGGGACTGCGGGCGCATCGCCGCCGACGTCCCGGGGCCGTCCTCGATATAAGTATATATAATTATGTTATATAAATATCATCTATAATGTTTAACATTTATATCGACACACATATGATCGAAACGTTACATATTAACTTACGACTAGCCGGCGTCCGGCGCGACCCTATCTAACGAACGATCGGGCCGGCGCGAGCGGGCCGCCCGGACGAAACGAACGCGTCCTCCACCGATTACATACTACCGAACGCGGACGTGCCACCTCGAACCTACAGACTTCGAACGACACGGGTGAACGTTTCAAAATCTCTTCTACACGTATAAAAATATATCGAGACGCGAGACGAACGCCGAAGAAACGAAAGGTCGGTCCGACGGATTCGAAATATGAGGTACGAGAAGAGGGAGAGCCGCGGGGGGAGCCGCTAGTTGAGTCGGCCGCAAGAGGAGATCAGGATCGCGCTGTGCGGCTTCCCGGCCGAGTCGCCCGCGCGCGACAGCCGGTCCACCAGCTCGAGCCCCTCCACGACGCTGCCGAAGATGGCCGTGAAGCCGCGCATCTCGCGCAGCACGATGCGGAACTGCGACCCGACCAGCCCGAGGTTGTCGTGCCGCTTCTGCGACCGGCGCATGCCGACCGCGCCGCGCACCGCCGCCAGCCGCGTGTCGTCCGGCATGAAGTGGCTCTCCTCGAACGCGGAGCGGCCGCCGCGCCCGTCGTTCAGCTCGAAGTCGCCCGTTATCACGCTCTCGTTCTCCCAGCACTGGAACACGGCGCAGCCGCGGTACCCGACGCCGAGCTCGCCGGTCGCCAGCGCGGCGAAGTTGCGCGCCATCCGCGGGGCCACGTCGCCGCGGACCTCGATCACGACGCGCCCGAGCGGCGCCCCGTTCACCTCCACGTCGAAGTAGAACAGCGGGAACGCGCCCGGGCCCCGCGCCGGCGGCGGCGACCCCGCGCCGATCGCGCCCGCCGGGGACCCGCCCGCGGCCGCGGCCGGGCCCTCGTCCTCCTCCCGCCGCCGCTCGTACAGCCGCGCCGCGCAGTAGTTGCCCAGGAACAGCACCGGGTCCCGGCGCTCGCCCGCCGGCGGCGGCTCCGGCGCCGGAGCCGCCAGCGCGCGCCGGATCAGCTCGAAGTCGAGCGGCGCCGCCGCCGCTCGCACCAGGTCCTCGAGGCGGGCCCGCAGCGCCGCCTCCGCCAGGCGCGCCCGCAGCCGCTCGCGCTCCGCCGCCGCCGCCGGCAGCGAGGTCGGCTCCGGCCCGCCGAGCGCCGGCGGCGCCGCCAGCTCGGCCTCGAGCCGCAGCTTGAGGGCGGTGGCCGCGTCGAGCGCGCGCAGCAGGAAGTCCCGCCGGCGCGCCGCCAGCCGCCGCAGCTCGTGCAGCAGGTCGCGGCGCTGGCGGGCCAGCAGCGCGCGGGCCTCGCGCGGCGGCCGCAGCGCGTGCGCGTGCGCCGCGTGCTGTCCGCAGCCGCGGCACGCGCGCGCGTCGCACGCGCAGCACCACAGCGCGGGCAGCGCGTGCGCGGGGCACGCGGGCGGCGGGGAGGGCGGCGACGGCAGGGGCGAGGGCGCGGGCGCGGGGGCGGGGGCGGCGAGGCGGCGGGCGAGCGCGAGCACGGGCCGGTGGGTGGGCAGCGCGTCGGCGCGGCCGTCGGGCAGCTCGGTCCGCTTCCAGCAGTGCACGCAGTAGACCTCGCGGCCCTTGCCGAGCACGGAGCGCGCGCACGCGAGGCAGAAGTGGTGCTTGCACGCGAGCAGCTTGGGCGGGCGCTCGCCCTCGTCGAACCGCCGCTTGCAGCAGGAGCACAGCGCCAGCTCCTCGATCTCCCCGAGCGGCGAGCTCGCCATCCGGGGCCGGGGCGGGCGCGACGGGCCGGAGGGGGCGCGGTCGGGCGGCGGGGGCCGCTTCGGGCTCACATCTTCCGTCGAGCGGCCGGCGGACGTCGGGCCGCGTTTTAAAACTAGAAAACGAACCGATGAAAACTAAACCGTCGCGGGGCGCTCCATCGTTTCACGTTTTGTGTACGAACGCCATGTCGAATCGCGCTTCCGGAGCGCACTTCGCGGCGCTCGATCGACAGATTACTTCCCGACGACGTGACCTCGGACCGGGGGCCGGCGCTCGCTCGCTCGCGGAAATACAAAAGACGACTCGTCCGTCGAACCGTTCATCTTTTTGTCGTCCTTCGTTCGTTTTCTCGTGTTCGAGATCATCGAACGAAAAAATCAAAACGTTAAATATGGTTTATTTTATTATTATTATATTAGAACCTATTTTCGCGAATATATTTTATTTTATCGACCGAAAACACGGAAGTGCTCATATTTTACCTCATCGTCCCCGAAAGTGTCGAAAAGAAAATCTATTATCAAATTACGATAGCTGCGTAGCGTAGTTGCGTATCTTATTGGACGTCGAATATAAGTTGCCGCCGGGGCGAGGTCACCGCGTGCAGGCGGCGCACTTCAGGCAGGTGCGCGCGGGACGAAGGCGGGGCGGGGGGGGGAGGGGGCGTTATCACTCGTTATCGCTATCGATCGGCGCCCCGCGCCTACACATTGCATGCGCCGTAATCTTTGACGTACGTCGAATAAACATCGCGTCGCTCGTCTCTCGTTCCCGCCGTAAATAAATAATCTCCCGATTAATTACCGAAATGACTCATTAAACTGCAGTTCTTGTCGTTTTCGAAATTGTATGTCCGTTACGTTTCCCATGTTATAAATAATAACAGTTTGATGTTTGAACGAATTCCTAATAGGTAACTCGATAGAATCGTTCGAGGATGCGCTGTAAGTGGTCGATAGTTCGGTGTATTCAATCCAATTTCTTTTTGCAATCATGTGGTGATACGAGATATTCCATACAAATACAGCACCATAACTTGAACCAAGTCAGGGCACGACGACATCGAAACGACTGACATTAACACAATTGTCGCAATTAACATTACAATACAAAATAGATATTCATATCAATTGTATTTTTCGTTTAATAATAATAATTACAAGTGTCACAATAATAAAAAAAGAAAAACATTTGTCGGGGTGGGGGCGGGGGTGGGGGCCGGGCATCGCGCGCCGCGGTCAAGGTCGCCGCGTGACCTTCGCCGGGCGCTCGCTCCCTTCCGTTATATATAATCGATACACGTTATTGGGTATTCACTCACATCGGGGTCCCTGATGATAAATTATGTACACTGCTGGGTTATATTTATTTTGCGTTATTTGATACCACATTAAAAAAAGCCTTATATGTGTTGTTGGAAACATTTATATTTAATGAACCTGTCACGATTTTTTATATATAAATAGAATTAAGATATAAACGATGGTTGACATGGTTTGGATTTTCGGTCTTTTTATATAAGAACATTGACGATTCGGGTGCTCGTGTTAATTTGTTATTTGTCTTCTTTTCTTTATAATGGTCTTATATTAGTGGAATTGTGTAAACGTAAATAGGCAATACAATACAAAAAATGAAGCCTGCAAAATCATAAACAAACGTTGCCTATCTTAGCGGGTACTTGGTGAGGCATTACCTAACGTTACAGGCTTTTGGTGAAACGGCGACTCTGCTTAAGCTATTATGACATTAAGTGACTTCTAATTAGTGAAAACGGAAATAAGTCGCGGGCGTGTTTAGTTGAGTGTGCGGACACTAGACGGTCGGTCAGTTTTAAATTGAGAAAAGTACAAAATTTCTACTGATTATTTTCAATAACTTCACTTTTTTACTTTACACATGGAATAAAGTCTTATTTTTTATCAAACTGGTTATTAAAAAAACTAATATCAGACGTTTAAGTAAAGTTTGAGACGTGCTTAACTTTAAACACTCAACTCAAAATCATGTATAATACTAATCAACACCTCAGATTTCGTTAATATTGCTGGTGTTGGCCATTGAGTCCATTGACCTTGCAGTCTTGGTCGTAACAATCATATTTTTCAAAAATAATCGATATTACGTACCTGAAGTGTCCGTAATCTAGAAATCTGAAACAACAAAGTTAACACAATATCCACACCCGAGACAATAGTTAATTACGGTTTTTATCTACAAAATGTTTTCGACAGAGTAGTGCGAAATACGGGATTATTACTAGTCCCTCTGTTGGTAGAAGAAACGGAATTATTTCCCATACTTCTTGAATGGATTTCGTTTTTATCATACAACAGAAAAAAAGAGTAAATATTTTGTTCTTTATTTAGCACGTTGGGCCGCTGCGTATAATTTAAAGCAGTTTGGAATCTGAGAAATCCCATAATAGGAATATAATCCCATAATGGGATACACTTAATACAACAAAAAGCTATTATTATTGTATTCATGTCTATAATAATCATGGCAGAATGTCTCAGACCCAGCAAAACTTGAGTCTACCTTAAATTATACTTAGGTTCAACTCGGTCTATTCATCATTTTGATATTAAAGGGTTTAGCCGGATACGTATGACGAGTCGGCCCCCAAATGGGAATCGATATTGAAACTTATGTTTTAATATAGACTTGATGTTCAAACACGATTTATGTACTTTTCGCGACCGACTTCCGCTTTGACCTTGAGATAGAGAGCAAAATATCCGTATGCTTGACTATTACTGAATGTGATATATCTCTGAAGCTAATTAAGATAAAGAAGTGAAACTAACGCGAGGTGTTAGGTTACATTACAGAGTATATCACATATATTTTTTTATAATTTTTAGAATAAAAAATTACATTAAAAAAATAAAAATAAAAAATATCATGTTTTTTTTTCTGACTTCTCTGTGACTTACAATCACGAAATTAATATATGTTATGCTCCTTTGTATGCTCTATCACCCATAAAAATTGCGTGAAAAAAAAGTTGGTGCAACACAACGGAAAAAAATTATATGTGATTCGCGCCTTGTAGTGTGAGTGTATAAACAAACAAGTTCGAACTTGTTATCGAGCTGTTTACTGCATCGTTTGTTTAGCTAAAGTAGCAGTCATTTGTATTACACAAGAAGGCAGTTTGGGACTCAAATTCTGTCATAGGTATTTTGTATCAGCATTTTGAAATTATTAACTATCGAACCAAATCATTATTAAGTAATAATGTCGAGAAAGTGTAAAAATTGTAACAAGTACCTGTGTAAGATTCCAGGAGACCAGGATAACCAAGATAACCAGGAGGTTATAAAAAAATTATAAAGAATGAAGAAGAAGCTAAAGTGTTTAGTGACTGTTTGAATAAAATCGTAATAGTTAATGATATTTTTTGTAAGAAGTGTCGACTTATCCCATATATTAACAAAAAAGCTTCTACTTCTAAATGTGCAGCATTTAACTTGGCCGAAATAATGGACGATCAAAATAATCTCTCAGTACAATATGTGAAATCAGCACCTAATATCATCAAAGCAGAAGTAAAATCAAGACATATAAATAGAAAAGTCTATCGAATTTACATTCACTATATTTCCGAAGGTAATGACTACAATAGTATTCTTCGTTATTGCTGTGATTGCCCCAATGGCAAACGTACAGTGGGATGCTGTTCTCATGTAGCAGCTATTATTTATTATCTATCATATCGATGATATTTGTCCAAAATCGTACGTCCTGCTGAGGTCCTAACTAAGTTATTTGCGACTCAAAGTGTTCCGATTGTAATTAATTACAACAGTGACGATGATTAATATTTTGTTTCTTGTATTTTGATAGACACGAAAAAGTAATAATAATGAGTATTGAACACTGGCTGTTTTTTTTTCATTTCTTTTTTAACTATTATCCCATCTCTTAAGACTAGTTACTTATGTTTTAAAACAAGCTGATGTGAAATTTCGAAAAAAAAAACAATGATGTAATGTGAAAACCTTATAATACAGGGGTATACCATAAGACAGAAATCACATATAATTTTTTTTCGTTGTGTTGCACCAACTTTTTTTTCACGCAATTTTTATGGGTAATAGAGCACACAAAGGAGCATAACATATATTAATTTCGTGATTGTAAGTCACAGAGAACTCAGAAAAAAAAACATGATTTTTTTATTTTTTATTTTTTTAATGTATTTTTTTATTCTAAAAATTATAAAAAAATATATGTGATATACTCTGTAATGTAACCTAACACCTCGCGTTAGTTTCACTTCTTTATCTTAATTAGCTTTAGAGATATATCACATTCAGTAATAGTCAAGCATACGGATATTTTGCTCTCTATCTCAAGGTCAAAGCGGAAGTCGGTCGCGAAAAGTACATAAATCGTGTTTGAACATCAAGTCGATATTAAAACATAAGTTTCAATATCGATTCCCATTTGGGGGCCGACTCGTCATACGTATCCGGCTAAACCCTTTACCAGTAACCTAAAGAAAGGAACATAAAAATCTCAAAATTTATAAAAGTAACTAAACGTCGTTACTGAGGTCATTTCTGATCAAGACCTGCAAAAGTATCTTCCTCGTCGTCTTCTAAATCAGATTGCTAAAGTATGATCAATAGGTACTTGATTATCTTTTAGAGCTCTCGATAAGATATTTTGGGTTCGGTCTAGAACTAGATAGAAATAATACTAGTACCACTATATGCTGTCATTAACCGATTAGAACATGCAGGATGGCCAAATATTAATGAAAACTAATTAAATATTCAAATGCCCAGTATAGTGGTACTAGTACAAAAAAATATCACCAGCAAATTACATTGATATTGAAAAAAATACGGAAAATTACTAAAATTATAAAAGAGAATCACGAAAATTACAGAGATATAAATAAATTAAAGGAAGCCTCTTCTCATAGAATGTGTCAACACCACTAATTATATTTAGACCATAGACATAAAAGAAGAGGACCGGCCATACCTACGAAAAAAGCGTATATGCCTAAACTTCAAATGCAAATTCTTCGATGGCGGATTGTCATAGGGCGTGACCCAAGATATCGATATTTGTATCGACATTGAAGTCATATTAAATAAAAGTTAGTATTTCGTGAAACTGCTACAATACTACTACTTATTAAATAATGTAATATAATTTTCATTGTTAGGGGCATGGCTAAACTATTACCTATTACACTTCTATTCATTTCACACTTACGTACCAATCCTATTTATGATTATTATTAATTAAATTGATAAATTCACGCCAGTTTTAAGAAAATAATATTTTGTTAAAAGTGGCG